GTATTGTTATTTTTCTATTTAAAATTCAAATTGAATAACATCATTGCAAAGGACATCGAGGGCCATGAGCCGATCATAGGGCAGCACTTACTTACGGCATTATCCTCAAATTACCCATTTACCCATTAATCTCCCACAACTCTCTCCATAATTACTCATGGCACTCTCTAGACTCTATTGATGGCATTTTCGCCATTCAGCAGCCTCCACCAACGGGATCCTCCACACCAACCATCATCTGCCACGTCAACAAAAATAATAACAAGAACTCGAGCTTCTTTTCCTTAAACTAAAACCGCTTCCGAAAAGCGACACGTCAGCAAAAAACCACAGTTAATCACTATCAACGACGCAAGAAGACCGAGCGTAACGCTGTACTCTATCTAGCGAAGTAGGGAATCCATCTGGAGTCCCGACATCGGAAATTTCCGACAAAATGACGAACTCGATGGAGAATTCTCCGCGTCCTTGCAGAGGGGTTTTACTTTTAGATCCCTTCCCTCAATTTTTGTCTCTCTCTGGAACCAGAGGAAAACTCCGTTGAAATTTGGTGTCAGGGCACAGCACCATATGTACTGTTGTCTCTCGCCGGAGGAAATTCGAGCTGGTTTTGGCGGGAACCCCTTTCTCTGTTCCGTCTGAATTCACGACTAGCTGAAGCTTGATTATTGTGATCGGAGAAGACAAAAGGGGGCAGCTGAAGTTTTGAATCGGTGTGTGTATCGATTGTGGAGAGAGGGAAAGGAGGAGGAGGAGATGGGTTTATCGGACAATTCGATGGGAGTGCTATTAGCTGTGGCGTCGAGTGCGTTTATAGGGTCGAGCTTCATTTTGAAGAAGAAAGGGCTGAAGCGTGCTGGTGCAAATGGTACTCGCGCTGGTATGTTTGGTTTTTTTTATATCTCTGCCCCCGCCGCCAAGGGTTTTTGATTTGTAATTCAAGTGTGTTGCTTTGGTGATTTTTAATGGCATGATTCTGATGTTGTCGATTGGATCAGCTGAACACTATGAATTGAATTATTTTTGAAATTCAATCTTCAATTGGTGGAAAAAATGGGAAATTTCCGGGATAATGTCATCAAAATGATCTTTTTACTTGTTCTTCTTCATTTCTGGATTGAGTTTTGATTTTCATGAATGAGCATTTTGTCTTTTAGATGATGCAGTATTAGCTTTTCATGCATAGGTTTCAATTATGCAACTTTTAGGGTGTCAGATAAGATAAGATGTCATTCTTAATAGTTATTTTTACAATGCCTTTTGATTGGCATCTACTAAAGAAATAACTATTTAGATTGTGCAAATTTTGTTTAGTTGGTGTGGTTGGCCTTATTCTGTTTGTGGAATATATGTAGGAGTTGGGGGTTATACCTATTTACTGGAGCCACTTTGGTGGGCAGGCATGGTAACAAGTAAGTATAGGTCTGGCTGTTTTAGTCTCTCCATCTGTAGGCATACTATGTTCAGGTAATTGTGCTTTGAACTGGTTATGAATTTCATTTTTGTAATTTCTTGACAAATAGTGATTACGGGAGAGGTGGCAAATTTCGTGGCTTATGTTTATGCTCCTGCTGTTCTTGTCACACCTCTTGGAGCACTGAGTATTATTATCAGGTAAATGCAGACATGTTGGTCTATCTCTCCATGTTTTAACTCTTTATGTGGGTTTGAAAGATTTTATTCGTTTATTATTTATTCTTTACTGTGACAATGTGTGAGCAGTGCTGTTCTCGCACACTTCATGTTGAAGGAACGGATTCAGAAAATGGGTATTGTAGGATGTGTGTCCTGCATTGTTGGATCAGTTATTATTGTGATTCATGCGCCTCAAGAACATACTCCAAATTCTGTACAAGAAATCTGGACTCTGGCAACTCAACCAGGTTTAACTTTCTCTTCATCATACTTAATTTTGTATTAAAATTCTGTATATTTACTGTTCCTTTTTTATATGACATTTATCATCGTGGTTGATATACTTATTGTTAGTTTCTCTTTTCCTGTTTTGTTTGTGGGTCCCTGCATGCCGATGCAAGCAGCATTTCTAATCTATGTAGCAGCTGCTCTTTCAATAGTTTTGGCTTTGGTTTTGCACTTTGAACCTCACTATGGGCAGACAAACATTCTGGTATATTTGGGAATATGTTCCTTAATGGGTTCTCTTACGGTAATTACCTCTCCTTATAAAATCATATGGTCATTCTTTCGATCAATTTTATGTCATCTTAATATGGCTATAGTTGTTTCTACTTGTTAGGTTACACAAAAGTATTTCTTGGTTGCAATCACAGGTTGTAAGCATAAAGGCCATTGGAATTGCTATAAAACTTACACTGGAGGGGATCAGTCAATTAGCTTATCCTCAGACTTGGTTCTTTTTTACAGTAGCTGCAATTTGTGTCATTACCCAGTTAAACTACCTCAATAAGGTAAGTAGATATTGTCACTTTGGTTGTTTTGTCCTTTTACCTATCTCATGTACTCAAAGCTAGTCATTCATTTGAATTTGTTGTCCAGCTGTTTCCTCAAAAATCAACCCCAATTTAGCCTCCCATCAAATGTGGTGTAAACTGTAGACACAAGCATACACTTGAGTATGTGCTGTTTAAATGCCCAAAAACTGCTTGCACTTCTCTCTCTCTCTCTCTCTCTTTAAGCTTTTTGAGAGGAATTTATGTAAGTGTGGTAGATATCAAACTATCACTCTTCGAATCTGTTGTGTTTAAACCTTTTCTCTTTCCTTTGTGGAAGTTCTATTCTAGTAACATAGAAGTGTGAATGACTGGATGTCACTTCATTAGAAGGATGAAATGTTCTTCTGCATGGATGTTAATAGGCCATACTTTTCGATTTCTCAAATCCTTTTAGAATATAAATAGAAAAATACATTCATTAGAAGATAGCTGGTTGGCTCATTGACTTTTGTGGTCACTGATATTTTTTGTTTCTTTGTCCTAGGCCTTGGATACATTCAATGCAGCAATAGTTTCTCCAGTGTATTATGTTATGTTTACAACTCTGACTATAATTGCCAGTGCAATAATGTTCAAGGTAAATTGCTTCATTCATCCCCCCACTATTATGTTTCTGGGGCCTAATTGTGGTCTTACTTTATTCACAAATACCAGGAGCCAGTTGAGCTGATAACTCCAATCTTTTCTAATTTCATTTTACAGGATTGGTCTGGCCAAGATATCAGCAGTATAGCTTCTGAGATATGTGGATTCATCACTGTGCTTTCTGGAACAATCATACTTCATTCTACAAGAGAACAGGAACCTCCTCCTCCAGTAGGTATGTGCAGACCTTGCACAAGCTGAATTTTCACACCTCGCTATTTGTTAGATAGAGATATTGTCATCCATATACTAGCAACTTTCCGTACTCGGATGGTGTCTAATTGAATGTTGTGGAATCTGTCTAAATGAAAGATAAAGTGAGACTTAATCTTACTCAAATCTGGCTCAACTTTTTCACAGCTTACTACTTGGGAGTGCTTCTTTTTATAAGCCAAGCATATTACCTGCTTTTGAGTTTTGTTCAAACTAAACCTAATTTATTACTTAAGCTTATGAGGGCATTTACATTTCAGGAACCGTAACGTGGTATATCAGTGGGGATTCTATAAAGAGTCCAGAGGATGATCATTTGATCACAATACATAGTTCAAGCTACTACGAGCCATGAGCATTAATTCTAAGTTGGATGTCATAATCTCCTTGTATTGAGGCAGCCACAACCACTCCACAACCAGAGAGTGTAGAATGGAAGCAAGAAGCTCATTCTGTCTTTTGATGAAATTTGGTTGAGACCCGAAATCAAAATCAATCAGTCCACCTTGCATCAACTTGGGGATCCATAGGTTACTGCAGAAAGTGATGATCTGGTTGCAAGTGCCATGACAGCCCATGTGGGGTGTACATATCATCCTTTTTTTTGAGTTGGAAGGTTTGTATTGATTTTGGGTTTTGTTGATTCTTTTTGGTATGTCAATTCATTCGATTTCTGGTACGTACAGAATTGTTCTCCCTTTTGGATTTCAGTAAAAGCTGTTGAAATTCTTTGGTGAATTGGTGTATACTTCTTGATTTGAAGAATCAGATTCGAGAATCGAACGCTTTCTTGGATGTCCTACTTTTTATTCTCGTTCCTTTAGGGTTGTTCATTGGTGTCCTCTCTAATTGCATGAATGGTTTGTTGGATTCCTCTATTCAATCAAAATATAGTTAATTGAGGTTCTTTAAAAGGATGTCATCAGTGTCACATCACCATGGGTGTTACAATGTTGAAAGATAAATCATTTTGTTCTGCTTTTCGAAGTTTCAAAATATTATATAATTTAAATTATTAGATAAAGAATAAATTTTATGATATTAAAAGTTGTAGTTTCATCAAATAGTTCTTGTTTCATCGTTAAGTATAGTCTGAATAGCAGAATAGAGAACTATTAAAGTTTTTAGACATATTTGGAAGAAAATAAACTTTCTAAACCAAATTGACCACAGATGAATATTTGATAGACGCAAACCTTAATTTAATATTCTCAAAAACTGGTAAAGGAAATAATAATTAAAAAAGAGAGTAAAATATAAAGAGATTAATGGTTATTGTAAAAAAATATTATTAAAAAACTTAAAACTATATT